ATGTCTGGTCCCAGCACAGCGCTGCATTGCCAGTGAAAGGTCAGTGGCCTAGTCAGTGGTACAGGCAGACTGGTCCTGTGAGGGTTAATCCGCCGGGCCAGTCAGCACAGGGGTCACCGGTGATGTGTAGAGAAGTTGAGTAACCGAGTCCCCATGGCTGGTCTGCTAATTACATTTGCAATTATAAACACCACAACCTCCCTGTGCAGGGACCTGACCACACAAGCCGATGGGACATCCAATATAATCCCCCCACAGGCCGCCCCAGCCACAGCAGGGGACACCAGGGCCAGCTGAAGCCTATGGGACCCTCCTCCACGGAATGACCAGATCCATGACCATTCCTCAGAGGCTGGAGTCTGCTAGGACTCCAGAAAGGGGAAATTCACCAATGACAAAACTCTATCAAGGTCACCAGCACGAACATGCTAAAAGGATTTATCCCTAGAAATTGGTGAGGGGCCACAGGGGCAGCAGGCAGGATGTTCAGGAAGGCTCGGGGCTCACTGGTCTGGTTCCAATCCATCCCCAACTTCACAGCTTCCGGGGAACATTCTGCAGACCCCATGCTCATGGCCCACACACCCTCCAGAAACCGTAGTGCACACAGAGGTTGAAATTCTAGCCGAGGAAGGGTCCCCCTCAGGGGAACATTTGGTCAAGAGCCACCAGAATCCAAAACAGAAGCTCCAGGGTGGTTTTGAGGACCTCTGGCTGCATTGGAGCAGGGATCCTGTCCTATGGAAGAATGCTTCAAGGGTCTCCTGAAGAGAGGGGCACATAGATGAGGGAAGATGTCAGAACAGGGATGTTCAGGTGTGAGGTGGGCTTTACTTTGAAGAAGTGGCTGGATTGTAGCCTAAATATCTGCTAGTTTTCCCCTTAAATTCTATTAAGGGGAATTTAATATCTGCTATTCTTTCCCTTAAATTTGGAACCAAAGGAATTTTAATCATTTTGAGGCTATCATCTGAAGTACCTGGGAAGGTAAGTTCAAAAGAGAGGTGCTGAGAGCCAGGTCAAAAGCAGGCCGTCTCTGCTCTGGGTGCTGCCTACTGAATGCTCTCTCCTGCACCCGACTCATGCACACGGCTACTGCACCACCTGCCGAGCCACCAGCTCTCCCAGGGTCTCCCAGACTCTTCTTTGGGGCCAGCTAGAGCGATGCAGATCTTCACTCAAGAGAAACAAGGCATTTTCCAGAGGACTGAAGAAGGACATGAACTTTTTCAGTGAGTTTGGATTACCTTTTAAAGCCATTTGGCAAAATGTCCTGTTTTAGGAACTTGAAGGGGACATGCAGGGGCACTTACAAGAGGCCCCTGTGCTAGGGACAGGAGCACTCTGGGAAGGCAGGAGTGACATGATCTCTCTGTCACAGCCACCTCCCTTGGAGTGCTTTCCCCGAAAGTCCCCTTCATCCTTTTCTCTTGGACTAAATGGAATATTTATTGATTACTCCAAATCAATAGAATGAAAAGGTTCCTGTTTGGTGGGTCAGGTTGTAGCATTGTCTTCTTCTTTGGTAAAGAAACATCTTTCCATATATTTCATATATTCTAAGAACTAGTAAAATAGAGGATTGTTTCTAAAATGAAAGGAGTTGGGGGAAATAATCAGCTCCAAGAGGAAATTTCCAGGGATGTCAGGATCTCACTGAGCTGGAAAGGACCTTAGCCGGGAATGAGCCCTGTGACGCTGAGCACATGTTTTCTCCACTTTGAGCCCTGGGGCTCAGTGACTGCCACCTCCTGTCACCCACCCTCTTCTCCAGCCACCTGCACCTGCAGAACAGTGGCCAACACAGAAAGGCTTATTTTCTAGACCCCTGCCTTGGAAAACCAAGACAAATGTCCTCACTCTGATTTATTTTTAAATGTACCATTAAAAATTAATTCCCCCCTTTGTTTTTCTCTGGGTCACTGATTCTGAATTACCATGTGGCATTTTTCCTATGTGTGAACCCACATATTTTACGTGCAGGACAGTTTGTTCTTTGTTCCCTTAACAACGGCAAAATGGTCATCGGATGGTGGTACCCTCCCACAGCCCCTCTTGGGTTTTGTGCCTGGGTCCCAAATGTGTCCCACTGTGGACACATTTGTACCCAGGGACACAGAGCCGAGCACGCTCACTCCTGCTCTCGTTGATTATATATGTACATAAAATATTGATCAGAAAGGGTAATGGAGTCACCTACAGGACTGGCTACAGGAAAATGAAACTGAAGGTAAGAAAGGTAGGAAGGTGTATGTGTTGTCTCATAGTGTGTCACTTCTCACGTGGGACAGGGAGAATGACACTGAGCGTTATAAAACACTGTATGTTACAGGCAAGAGCAGAGCAGTGACATTTTCTCTTCCCAAACTCCGGTGCCTGTGCTCTTGGGTCTTCTCAAGTCTTTGAACATCAACTACCCTGCCTGGGTAAAAACTGTGCAAAGCACAAGAACGCCCTCACCGGTACAGTCCCAGAGACACTTTGGCACTGTAACAACTGGACTCATCCTACTGTCCTTCGGACAAACCCCAAAATGCAGTCCCCCTTTTGGTACTTTGTTACTGATGGCTCTAACGCTAGCTGTCACCCAGCCTCTCTTGGGTAGAGGTCAGAAAGATGCCTCCCACAGGCACCAGCCTCTGACCTCCACAGGCCCAACCTTGGCATACCGGCTCCTGCACCGTGGAAAACGTAAACCCTGGTTGGGAGACGTGCATCTATGCGCAGGGCCAGCTCACTGATGCTTAGGGCTGCTGCCTAGCAGGTCCTGGGCTTTGAGAAATGGCATCCCACAGGGACACCTCATTCCCCAGTGGAGAGAGCAGGTGTGTTTTTGGCTTTTCCCGTGCCCTGTGGAGTGAGAAGCTTATTTTTTGAGGGGGAGGGCAAAGAAATCAGGAAAGGTGGGAGATAGAAACCACTGACAACCTTAGTTTAGAAATGATTTCCACTTCAGCCCTGACACCCAGGATGTCTGCTCCCACATCCCCTTTGCTGCCTCCCCGACGTTCCCTTTTTGCCCACATTCCTCCTCAAACTCAAGTCAGGGTTCCTGTCAACCCCAGAAGTACCTGCTAAACCTTAGGTACTTCTTTAGTAGCTGCTAAACCTTCCATTTCTCCTGGCTTTTCTGGTCAACATGATCACAAGAATGTACTCCCTCACCCTACATATTTTCATACTGATTGACTATGACTTGAGCCAAAGACAAACAGATATTTTGAGCTCAACTAAAGAAGTCACCTCTGAAAAGAGGGAGCCTAAATAATTTAAATATCTAATATTTGTTGGAGCTGGTAATTTCATGTGAGGAAATGTCCCACCGGCATTATTGTCCACAGCCTCCATAACCCCTCCCCGCCTCTAGGTCTTCCACTTCCTCAGAAGGGCCACTGCAAAGTGTGACCTCGCCCCGAGCCGACCAAGCTGCAACCAGTGTAACCTTTGAAGAGAATGAAAAGCACTTTTCCAGCCGAGGAAAATGGAACCCATTAGATTTAAGGATTCCCCTTATTTCCCACCACAATGCCTTCTTCTGACACGACACAGTGCCTAAATTCTGGTGGCATCTAAAGGACCCTCTAAGGATCCTAAAACTAGAACCAAAAACCCCAGCCGGGGCACCCGGTCATCAACACAGGCAGCAGCTGTGAAGTTGCATCGTGTCCCACGCGTGCGCCCCGCTGATGGAGGCAGTCTGCACTGCGAAGCAGGGGGCTACTTTCCGGAACCCCACAAGGTCTAGGCTATTTATTTCCGAGATGCCGTCAGGGTGCTACATTAGGGGGATTTTGTTGTACAAATTTGAAAAACTGATACAACCAAAGAAACACGGACTTCGGCAGTGTAGTTTGCTTCAGGGGGTGGGGAAAGGAAGAAGAGCACAAAGTTAAGCAGAAAAGCTGTCCGAGACAACGGAGAGGTTTCATTTTTCAGCCGCCCTAGGGACCACTCTGCAAGCGCGCACCCGCTGTGGGACACCGAGCGCTCCGAGGAGACCCGGCAGCTACTCCAGCAGGCGGGGCAGCGACAGGAGAGGGCGCAGGGAGGAAAGCACGGGCGGGCAGTGTGGAGCCCGGGAGAGCCCAGGCAGCACGCGCGGGGCAGCCACCAGCCGCGCAGGGGGGTCAATTCTCCACTTTCCCACTCTGTGCGCTCGGCGTGCGCCCCGGGGCCAGGGAGCCGCCCGAAGGATGGAGGAAAAGGAGAGCCTCGTCCTGCCACCGCGACAGCGCCCTCGCCCCTCCGACCACGGCAGGCTCTTCGCCACTAGCCCCGGGGCTCCGGGACACGAGTCAAGTCCGTCTGCTCCGCGAGCGAAGCCTCCCCCAAAACTCCGCACTAACTTGGGCTCCGCCGCAGCGCTGAGCCTAGTGCTACCCAACTCCTGGCGGGGCACCGGCTGCCCGCGCAGGGCGTGCAAAGCGCGGCGTGGCCCAGGCCGCGCCCCCGCACCCCCGGGCTCCGGGGCACCGCAGCGGTGTGCGCACCCTCGGGGCGCCCCACTGGGACCTCCCGGCGAGCGCGGCGAGAGCCGCCTACAGTTCCCAACCGATCGGGGAGCTTTCGATTTTCTCCCCTTGGCAAGATCATTTTTGGTCACCAGGATGTAAATACAATCAAAGCGCCCGCGGGGAAGCTTTCGCGGACGGGACGGAACCTCCCCAGAGCCATGATCCTGCACCTGTTCTGCGCTTCCGCCTCCCTTGCACGGGAACTAAAACGTTTTTTCCCGGCGGAGCGCGATCAGAGTGGATGAGAAAACGCTACTCCTGCCTAAAAGTGAGGGCTCATAAAAGGGAATGCGGGAAAAGTTAGAGGCGGGTGTGAGTCCGAGAGAAAAACCCAGGAATATAAGGCTTTTCCCCTCCTACTGTCGCCCGATTGTCCCCGAAGTCCCTGCCACCTCAAGAACATGTAGAAGAAACTGCGACACCCAGGACCGAGACAGCCAGACGGGCAGAAAGACAGAGGGACAGACCGACAAGAGAGGCACCTACTGGTTGTGGTAGCCGAGGGGGTCCGGGATGCAGAGTTCGGACACGTCCATCAGTCCCCTTTGAGCATTCCCAGTTGGGGGAGAAAGGCGGCGGGGCAGTCACGCGGAAGACGAGTGAAGGGCACGGGCGAGGTGCGAGTCCCGGCAGGGGCACCGCGAGCCGAGCGGCCTGCGAGGGGAGGGAGGCCAGGAGCCGCGCGCGCGCCGCCCCACGCTCCCACTCATCCGCGCGCTTGGAGCGGAGAGAGCGGGCAGAGGGGATGCGAAGCCGCGGAGGAGGCTGGGGCACCCGAGACTTGGAGCCCACTAACCCTACTGTAGCTTTAAGGCTCAGAGACTGATGTATGGTTTGGCTCCTATTGGCTATCTCTCAGGGGCTGGACTTAAAGTGACAGAATCCAGCCCGGGTGGGGGAGGGGGCCGCCCGGGAGACTTTAATGAATAAGACGCTCGAGCGGACGCGCAAGGTCCCCATCTCCGGAGGAATCGGAGGTTGGATGTTTAGAGCCCTAAGGCTTGTGTTTTCGCGGATAAAGGGGCAGAAAAGGTCCAGTGCCTGGTAGGACTGGGAATGGGGGGCGAATTGTTGCTTATCCAACTCCCCCCCACACACAGGTCGCCCCTTCTTTTAACCGGCAGACAGACTCGCCTCTCAGCCTTCTGGATTGGGTTTATTTTCCAGTTAAAAGTGAGGCACATTTTCCCATCTCCATACTCTTGAGTAGCGTTCAGCGCCTTGTGACATTCACAGCCTCAAACCTTATGTTTAGAGCCCACATGTGCAAAGAGTCAGACTGGCAGGTGAGGCCCAATCAAAGAGGGTAAGAGGAGTAGATTCCCTCCCCGGCTTCCCTCACCTGGGCCAGTCACTTCTGAAACACCGCTGACATAAGGCTAGATGCAGGGTGTACATCCATAAAATGCTCACTGGCAACTCTGAGCAGTGGCCCAGAGACGCCTAAATCCATCTCTGCTTAGGGGAATGAATCCTGGTTAAATCCCCAACGTACCTGCCACAGCCACGCCGAGGCACAAGCAGACACTTTCAAATACACACCTGAATCCCCGGCTACAAACACACCTGCATTGCATCCCTGCTCCCTCCATGAACCAGAGTATTATGGGCTGCCACTGTACCAAAATGAGCTGTAAGTCAAGCCCCAATCCTTCTGTGCGGCTTTTCATCTTTTGAGATGTGCCCGCCACAGGGATAATAATCAATTTGATGATTCAAATGAGTGTGGGAAGGGGGGTAGGTATAGAATTATTTAAAAGGGGGGAAAAGCCCTCAGGAGAGACCACCACCTTATTCTCCTATATTTTACAGAAGACAATGAGCAGTAGGGGGGAAGACATAATTTTATCATCAAAATAATGTCTAAATGGAGTGTAACTATAGACAGTGTCATGCATTTCAGGAATAAAGCAGGGAGGGAGGTGGTAGGGAACCCCAGGAGGGGCCACCCCCTCAGGGAGGGGCTGGGAAAACAGGCAGCAGCCTCACAGATGATGCTTACTTGGATAAATGTCACTGTGGGGCTGGGGAAGGAGTGGAGATTTTTCATATGTGTGGAAGTGGAGGAACGAGATCTCCCCAAGAGATGGATGAAGGGGTCTGCTGTCAGCAGACCCCCAGCAGTCTCAGAAAAAAATTTAATCACATAGATACTTTGTTAGAGACAGAAAGAGGGGTGCATAGGTGTTTTCTTTGAGCCTGGGTTCTACTCAACCCCATCTCTTGCCAGGACCTCAGTAACTGGTTTCTCTGCATCCTTTCTGCCCCCCAGAGGCCCATTCTCCAAGCATACAGCAGCTAGGCCCCACTTTCTAGCAGGTACATAAAGTGTCCCCTTGTTGCAGTTAGGAACGAGGCCCCAGGCTTGGCTCACAAGGAAGGCCTCACATGACAGGTATCTGTGGGTCCCTCTGCACCCCACCACAGCCCATGCCACACTGCTTTAAACCCATCTTTGTACCTGCCACCAAAAGTCCCCACTTTGCAGACACCACCAGAACCTCCTGCCACTCACTCTCCAAGTAGTCAAGCCCAGCTTGTCATCGCAGATATATTGGCATCCGTGACACTCCCACCTAATACCCTTACCTCACTGGACGGTAAGCCCCATAAAGGGAGGGACTGCATCTATCTGTTTCCCTGCAGAATTCCCAGCACCCAACAGGGCCTGACCTGTCCACAATTATCCTCTGCCTCCAAGGTCCTGGGGCAGGAGCTGAGAACCTCGCCTCTGGGCATAGTGGATGATTCTTCAGAGCAGCAAGGAGGGTTTTTGTTTGTTTGGGGGTTTTTGGTACTGGGGATTGAACTCAGGACCTTGCGCATGCAAAGCAGGCAGTGGCACCAAAGGAGTTTTTTTTTTTTTTTTTTTTTTGGTATCGGTGATCAAACTTGGGACCTGGTGCTTTTGAGGCAGGCGCTGGAACCACTGAGCTACCCCCACCACCACCACCCAGGGAGGTTTTTACTTTTTTTTTTTTTTTTTGGTACCGGGGATCGAACTCGGGTCCTTGCGCTTGCATAGCAGGCGGCGAAACCACTGAGCTAAATCCCCAGACCCCCAAGGAGGTTTTTGAGACTCCAGGGAGCCCTCCTCTGGCCTGTGCCTGCCCAGATCCTCCCCACAGCTCTGGGCCCTGTGCTTTCTCCTGTCCCTCCCAGCAAAAGTGAGTTTTCGTACTACTAGAGGAGAGAGGAGGGCCAGCAGGCTGGGATACCCTGGTGCCATGATCCAGCATCTCCTATGATACACAGGCAAACCTGGCCAGCTCACACTCTGCATAGAAGACTAGCCTTCCCCATTCATCCTCAGCCAGCCCATGGAGGTCGGGCTCCTCCCTATAGCCAGGGTCAGGTTCCACACCTCTGGCTGCAGAAGCCACAGTGTGGAAATGTACAGAGCACTCCGGGATCTGGTCCTGACTTCATGTGACCTTGTGAAGGTCATCTCTTCTCCAGAAAACAAAGGTTGTGCAGGGCGAGGAGTGGGGTGGGGTGGGCAAAGCTCTTGGCTTCCTTCAAGCTTGAAATGTATTCAGCCAATCATGATTTCCTATTTTCAGCGTTCACCTCCAGCAAAAGTTCTGAGCCACCCCTTCACTCCCCTATGCCCAGCTCTGACACCCCAAGTGGGCAAGCCAGCCAAAGGGAATAGGACAAAAAGCATTAGACACGGTAATCGCACAGGGTATAAGGTGACAGTGGCTCACTTTGTTTTTGTGACAAACTCACTTAAATAGATATTTATTACACTCATGAAACCTTACAGGCAGGAAGGGCTCAACTCAGGGAATTACAGTCCTTAATTTACGTGGTTTGCCATGATTTTTCAGCTTTACTATGGTGAGAAAGCCATTCAGATTCAGAAGAAACCATACTTCCCATTTTGAATTTTGCTCTTTTCCTGGTCTTGGAGGCATGCAGTCCAGTGCTCCCCTGAGGTGCTGGGCGGCAGCATCAAGCTGCAGCTCCAACCCACCTACACAGTCCACAGCGTGCAGTATTGCTGTGATGTTTGGTAGGCTAGGTGTGTTCATTCAACACATTTTCAACTTAGTGATAGCTGCAGTTCCAATGGGTTTATGGGGTGTAACCCTATATCAGAAGTCGAAGGGCATCTGTATTTAGGACTGTCCTTGGGTTTGACAAATCAAGAACTCTGTACATCTGTACAGTGAAATGTCCTACCCAAGGTTGTACAGGGAATAACTGGCAAAATATGCCATTGGTGGCCTCTGAATCTCTACTTGTTCTATTTCTAAATCTTTGTTGGCAGGTCCCTTCCCTTTCCCTGATTCCTCCTTCGCTGAGTGCAAGTCCTTTGCCAAGGACTATAAAGCCACCCAAGAACCATCCCAAGAGCATCTCTCTCCATACACGCTTCACCTGATAGGCGGAGAGGACATAGCTTTCTGTGTCCCCAGATGATCTCTTGGGAGGGCAAAAGGAAGCACTGGCAACTGATTTCCTGACCTACTGTCCGGATCCATGGCAGGTAATTAGGAAGCAGAATCGCACACAGCATAGCCCACTCTGTTCCCTAAGCCTGTATCTCTGTAGGGACACAAAGCATGACGAAGGTCCTGGATCTGTTCAAACACAGGTCCGTGTTAACCACCCACCTCCTATTTCCCATCACAGCCTGGCTCAGTCCTCAGCGTGGCTGTCTTAATGCCTGCTCCTGCATGTGGTGTGGTCTTTCATAATCTGTGCACCTGACGCCAGTACAGCATCCCTTGCCAAAGGTCTAGTGGAAATCCCCACCCTTCACAGAGCCTAGTTTTGATTGTGGCTTCCCTCCCTTGAATCACCTTCCCCTGACACCAGTCATTTTTGCACAAATAAGGCAGAAGCAAGCCATCCCCCTTGAATTCCCTCCTTAAAGAAAGTTTTTTGCCTTTTTCAAGCCAGGTAGCTCAGCAGGATGCAGTGAGTCCACGTTAGTCCAGGAGAGCAGAGATCTTGCTAGCTTTCTCCCTTGCTGAAAAGACCCATCAGGCGTTTATGGAGCGACTGCCCTCTGCTCTCAGAGCCTGGTGGACTCGGGAATGCTAATTGTTTGATTATGCCATCCCTAACCTCACCCATACCCACATTCCCTGAAGCCAAGATTCCAGGTGGGAATGATGCCTTGGGAAACACCCCACATGTGCCACCACTTCTTACCACCAACTCAGGAAGGGCAGGATGCCTCGGTGGAACTGTCTGAATCTCCAGCAACGCTTGTTTCTGCCCGAAGTGAGGGCTGCAGAAGGTGAGTCCGGGTGGGGCATCCATTGAAAGTCCTCAGTGGATGACTATGGTAGGCCTGGCCTGGACGGGGAGCCTAACCTGAGCATCTCTGGGGACAGTGCTCCATGGGGTCCTGGCTGGAGGAGTGTCCCTGACCACACACCTTTGTGGACCTACTGTCTTTCTCACATGCTTCGATTTTGGGTATAGGGTTATATCCCTGAGTGGTGGTCAGCACACTGTCAGCCCATTGGCTGGCATTGGTCCGAGGATCATAATTAACTGATAAAGCTAAAACAATGTG